CTGTAAGAGAAAACACGAGTTTTATTTCGGTCACACATCATCAAGCGGGAAAGTATCTGCTTGAAGCAGAGAGAACAAATTAGCGAGGAGGTACAGTGGGCACTACCTCTCTGGCAGGCCGCCACCTCAACATTCCAGCAGTGGTGCGCTCGGTCCCCGCTCGCATCCCGATGGCTATCGTGTAACAAAAATCAACTTTTTATTTTCTTAACGCGGCGTGGATGTGATGCACGTGGGGTTGACAATGCCCTCCGACCCCCTCCCCACACCTAACGGGAGGATATGGGGACGGCTACGGGCGTCATCAGTGAGTGTGTAGGTGTAGAACGTTGACGGAGAGAGAGCTTAATGTAGCTACATAAATAACGTGCGTGGGAGTATTCAAGTTAAGGAAAATGGGAGAGAGAGACGGAAAGGGAGAATGGAAGAGTGAGGAGGGAGGGAGGGAGGGAAGGGAGGGAGGGAGGGAGGGAGGAGGGAGGGAGGAGGAGGGAGAGGGAGGGAAGGAGGGAGAGAGAGAGAGAGAGAGAGAGAGAGAGAGAGAGAGAGAGAGAGAGAGAGAGAGAGAGAGAGAGAGAAAGAGCGAGCGAGAGAGAGAGAGAGAGAGAGAGAGAGAGAGAGAGAGAGAGAGAGAGAGAGAGAGAGAGAGAGAGAGAGAGAGAGAGAGAGAGAGAGAGAGAGAGAGAGAGAGAGAGAGAGAGAGAGAGAGAAAGAGAGAGAGAGAAAGAGAGAGAGAGAGAGAGAGAGAGAGAGAGAGAGAGAGAGAGAGAGAGAGAGAGAGAGAGAGAAAGAGCGAGAGAGAGAGAAAGAGCGAGAGAGAGAGAAAGAGCGAGAGAGAGAAAGAGCGAGAGAGAGAGAGAGAAATCTAGTTCGCGGGGTAAAGTGGAGTATGTCTAATGGTTCGGAGCTGTGTGTGTACTTCGAAGGGAAAATGCTTGGCTTCTGAGTCAACGGAGGCAGGGTGTACTGTGGTGTTCGCTGGGAAAGGGTGGGCAGAGGAAACAAGAGAAGGGCAAAAATAAATACGAAGTGGGGAAACATAAGAAAGATAAGAAAGATGCAGATAGAGACAGACAGACAAATTATATATATATATATATATATATATATATATATATATATATATATATATATATATATATATATATATATATGAGAGAAAGAAAAGGAGGGAGGGTGGGATGGATGGAGAAAGAGAAAGAGAAAGAGAAAGAGAAAGAGAAAGAGAAGAGAGATAGAGAGAGAGAGAGAGAGAGAGAGAGAGAGAGAGAGAGAGAGAGAGAGAGAGAGAGAGAGAAGGAAGGGAGAGGAAAATGGAAAGGATGGGGGAGGGGGAGAGGGAAAGTATGGGGGAGGGGAGAGTCGTGAGGGAGAGAGTAATAAAAGACATTTCCCAGGAAAAATAACAAGTACGACGGAACAAAAAGAGCAAAGAAAATAGACAAGGGGTTCACGGGGCAATGCAGCGCAAACGGGAGACTAAACATGAGCGAGAGATAACAAACATGAAATTGAAGGCAGCACAGCACGACTTCAAATTGTCAGCTTGGACGAAAGCGTGGGATGCTGTGGGAGGATGGTAGGAGCGAGGGAAAAAGTCTCGAGGAACGACAGATCTGGGAAAAAATGAAAAGAAAACAGTGGCAAAATAACACCTACAGATCATTATATGGAAATCCAACACGAATGAGAATTAGGCAATTGAAATCGGACTTTTTTCGGTCGTTCTGAATACTAACATGAAGACATAATGACAAGTTCTCGTCCTCCCTCTCGCCCTCCTCCCCCTCTCTTAATACGACGAGGTCACATGACGCAGCATCATCCATCCATTCCATTGTATCAAACCATTCTTGGTTTCAAACCATAAAAAAATGTCACAAGGACAATAAAAATGCCAGACACTTGTATGTAACTCTTTCGGTATAAAGCAAATGACATGAACTCAAAAATAAGTAAAATGACAAAAAAAGAGTCAGCAGCCGATCAAGGTCGCACTGTGAGCTCGTGGAAGCTCGTGGAGGGTGACTCACTTTACGACCACGCTAGAAGATTGAGAGAGAGAGAGAGAGAGAGAGAGAGAGAGAGAGAGAGAGAGAGAGAGAGAGAGAGAGAGAGAGAGAGAGAGAGAGAGAGAGAGAGAGAGAATGTGTGTTCAGGAGCAATGAACAGGGCAAAAGAGGAAAGCGACCGAACGGAACGACGCCAGACGACAATGAAGAGTGTGAGTGACAGCTTGAGGGAAGGAAGGAAGGGGAGAGGGTGGGGGAGGAGTTAAAGGGAGAATACCAAGTCCTCTCCCCCTCCCCCAGCTCTCCCTTCAAAAAGGAGTGACGGCATGAGCCAAGATTATCCCCAGCACGAGACCCGCCCGGCCACCACGTCACCGGGCAAACGTCCCTTTACGCAAATGAAAAATGGAAGAGTCCGTCTGATGAGCCAAGACTCGCGGCGAGTGACAAGGAGTCTCCTGATACCTGCACTGGCACGCGGCCATCGCCAACACGCTCTGGTAATGCTCCTCCAGCCCGACCGCCCGATCCTTCCCGATCCCGGGGTCTCTGTCTCGGGCTCGGTCTCTGTTTCTGTCTCTGTCTCTCTCTCTTCCCACCACACCTTCCTCCTTTTCTGTACCACTTTTTCCTTCGTTACTATTCCCCCCATTGTTTACTACCTCTCCCTATTTTCTTTCTAGCTTCTATCTTTCGAGTGACCGACGTCTAAACTTACCACCCACACCCGTCTATACACCCGTCACTTAATGCCCATCACATAACATACTACTATCTATACCAGCCCCTTATCCTCATTCTCCCCCTTCCTTGCCTCTTCACCCACCACCTTATCCTTATCCCTGCCCCCCCCCCTCCACCCTACCCCTTCATCCTTATCCTCGCTTTTTAATTCCTAATGGCTGGTCAAGGGTCGGGTGATGTCAGAAAAGCCCGGGGTTTATTATTGGTGACATTGGTGGCACTGACTGTTGATAAATATATAACCTCCGCCCTTGAACAGCCCCCTCTCGTCCTCCCCCTTTCCCTCCTCCCACCTTACCTTCCCCCTTCCCACGTTATCTCTCTCAGGTCTTCGAGATTGGTGTGAGGCTGTGAATGAGTGAATGAGTCAGGGGCTGAGGCACGCCAGCGAGTGCCACACCTCTTACTCACGCACGCCCGCACCAACCAACTGTCTTACACAAATACGATTCGCCAAGTAAACAACCACATTCTTTGAAAGGACACCTCGCCCCGGCCTGCCTGCGTGGGAGGTACGGGGATTCTTCCCCCCCGAATACCTTGCGCATCTTGCGGAGGATTTGTCCAATCGGCTAAAATGCGGAGGGAGGTGGGAGCCGCAAGGGGGGATACATGTCCTAGAATTAATGGTTAAAGGTAAATAATTAATAATAAAAAATATTGGTTATTGTGGTAATCATAACAACGACGCTTATTTCGGTGACAAAAAAACTACAACAACAACAAAGCTTGCAAGCAAGCAGTACCGAAAAAAACAGAAAATAACCTATTTGGTACCCAGAAGCTATGAACATGACGAAACAAGTCGAAAAAAAACATCCGAATACCCAGAATATCCTAAATTCTTCACGCCGTTTCTCGCAAGCGACTTCCTTAAACATCACCCAAATGTTATTATCTCTGGACTTTTCCATAAGGGGAGGAAATGCCATGTTGCTGGACGGAACAGGGCACAGAGCAGCGGGTGGCGAAACAGAAGAATAATGCACGGAGGGGGTGGAAGGCACAGTGGGGGAGTGGGGAATGGGGGATATGTAGGGGTTAAGGGGTAAAGGTAGGAACGGCGGGGCAGAAAGATAAAGCAGAAAGAGAAAGAGAGAGAGAGAGAGAGAGAGAGAGAGAGAGAGAGAGAGAGAGAGAGAGAGAGAGAGAGAGAGAGAGAGAGAGAGAGAGAGAGAGAGAGAGAGAGAAAGAGCAGACACGTTGGCTTGAAAAAATATATATATAACGCAGCGGGTGGGGGAGGAACACAAACAATAATAACAATCAATGAAAACGTATCCCGTGAAAAAACTCAAAAGAACAGGTTGTCCTGGATGGGGGAGTCGCACACAAGCAACTCTCACCTCTAAAAGCACCACGTGGCGTTTGTACATGAAGCTAATACACTCATCCATGCTCATTTACTCTCAAGAGAGAGAGAGAGAGAGAGAGAGAGAGAGAGAGAGAGAGAGAGAGAGAGAGAGAGAGAGAGAGAGAGAGAGAGAGAGAGAGAGAGAAAGGCAGAGAGAGAGACAGGCAGAGGAAGAGAAAGAGAGAGACAGGCAGAGGAAGAGAGAGAGAGAGACAGGCAGAGGAAGAGAGAGAGAGAGACAGGCAGAGGAAGAGAAAGAGAGAGAGACAGGCAGAGGAAGAGAAAGATAGAGAGACAGGCAGAGAAAGAGAATGAGAGAGAGATAGGCAGAGGAAGAGAAAGAGAGAGAGACAGGCAGAGAGAGAAAGAAGAGAGAGAGACAGGCAGAGAGAGAAAGAAGAGAGAGAGCCAGGCAGAGAGAGAGAGAGAGAGAGAGAGAGAGGAGAGAGAGAGAGAGAGAGGAGAGAGAGAGAGAGAGAGAGAGAGAGAGAGAGAGAGAGAGAGAGAGAGGATGAGAGATAAATGACACAGAAAGGCAGACATATATAAAAAGAAACTTGAAGGGAGTAAGAGACTGAAAGGAAGAAAGAAAGGTATGTATATATGTGAGTATGTATGTATGTATGTAAAAGACGTATGTATGTATGTATGTAAAAAATGTATGTATGTATGTGTGTGTGTGTGTAGTTATATATATATATATATATATATATATATATATATATATATATATATATATATATATATATATATAATATATATATATATATATATATATATATCATATATATACATATATATACATATATATACATATATATGCATATATATGCATATATATGCACCTATATATACATATATATGTATATATATATATACATATATATATA